GCAGACTTGCTGTAGGCATCAGAAGTGTTAGTGAGTGAGTTCAGTTTTACGCCGCTTTTAACCATATTCCAGCTATATCACGGCGGGGGACACCAGAAATCGGGTTCACACATTGTACCCATGTGGGGAATTGAACCCGGGTCTTCGGCGTGACAAGCAAACGCTTTAACCACTAGGCTACCCCACCGCCCATCAGGAGTGTTAAGTAGAATTCATCCTCTACAGAATTTCATGAAAATAAAAAAAATATATACTTGAATTACTTTCAGACTGTCGACCAATGTTTCATAGACCTGCTTAAGAAAGAGGTCTCTGAAAACTTGTCTAAGGACTACTCATTAATACAAGCAGTAGAGGAATTTGGGGAAGGGTAATAGAGATATATGACTTTATTGGAGGGACATGAAGAATAATATTGATTTGGGGGAAAGGTCTGTATAAAATTATTAGTAATATTTTTTGCACCATTACCTTTTACAAGAAAAGCATTTTACTGCTTGCATGCTAATAAGATTTTACTACTTAAAGGTTTAGAGCCATGAAAACCCGGAAGCATCTAAAAACAAGGGGACAAACTTTTCGATATGGTCATACACTTCTGTACGGTAGTTTATGAAATCTCACCCACATCCATCCTGTAATATACAGCAGGTCCCATGTCATACATTATTCATGATAAAGAAGCTTGCCAATAAACCTCTCAGTCCGGATACAAATATGTTTCTTTTACATTAATCAGACAATGAAAGGCTTGTGGGCCGAATACCTCCAACTGTAAACCCAGTGGAATCCAAAGTCACTGAAGTAGGGCTGAACAAATATTATGCCAGCAATAACAAACCTGACAAGAAATGTCTTTGTATATACCTAGTCCATCACTTGACTGATTCGTACAGGAGTGAGTGAGTGAGTGAGTGAGTGAGTATGAGTTTTACAAGTATGGTTTTACGCCGCTTTTAGCAATATTCTAGCAATATCACTGCAGGGGAAACCAGAAATGGGCTTCACACATTGTACCCATGTGGGGAATCGAACCTAGATCTTCGGATTCTTACAGTAAAACAGAAGGGCATGATACAAGGGTTCGGTACAAGGGGCTGTGTTTGTCTACTCAACATACAAAAGATATTGGAGAGAATGTGGGTTGTGCTGGCATTGATTTTCCAACTCTAGTGTAATGTCAGCAGCTTAACTGTAATACACAATCTTAAAGAAACATGGACGGCAACTAAACTGACATTGTTTGTGCACAACCTTTATCAATATGGTGTAGGACATCTTTACATGTGTCTTTGTCAAAGTAAGATAACTTTCATGCTCGTAATCTTCAATTAACAACATGTCTGAATATGGACTACAGAGTTGATTTGAATGCACATTCAAAATGGGTGCACATGAGTTTTATGAATGCTAACTTGTTTGATTTAATAATATATTATAACAGAGTGTGATGGACGGATGGATAGGCTGGATGGATAGGTGGGCTGGATAGGTGGGTGGATGGATAGATGGATAGGATGGATGGATGGATGGGTGGATGGATGGATGGATGGATAGATGGATGGATAGGTGGGTGGATGGATGGATGGATATGGATGGATGGATAGGTGGGGATGGATGGATGGATGGATAGATGGATGAATGAATGGATGATAGGGTGGATGGATGGACGGATGGATAGGTGTGTGGATGGATGGATGGATGGATAGGATGGATGGATGGATGGATAGATAGGTGGATGGATGGATGGATGGATAGGTGGGTGGGTGGGTGTATGGATGGATAGGTGGGTGGATGGATGGATAAAGGTGGAAGTGATGCGGTTAGTAAATGTTCACCACTTTGGTCAAAATGCCACAAAGTGCCCACAAAACAAGAATCTTAATCACTGCAAGTTCTGGAATCAAACCCTAAAATACAGCACACACAGGCACCAGTAAGGGACATAACTCTGTACAGCAAATCACGTGCCTCACATGACTGTGCCAACTGCGGAAACTTTCTACTACAGAGAAGCACACTTAATTTTGTAGCATGCTCCGACTCCTGTATCAGGTGAATCATACTGGCGAACGCTGCTGCCTCTACACAACAAAAGGAGTTGATATCCAAAACCCAGCTTCTGAGAAAGTCCCATGAGGTCCTATTCAACACATTCTGACTTGATGAAAGAAGTATTTAAAAGAAACTATGTCTAGAACTCGTGTTACACAGGAGCAGCTCAACAAATCACATGTTTACTTCTCTGTGTAAAACAAGTTTATTCTCATGTGTGAGAGAATGTTTGTGATGCTAAAGCACCAAGACAAACAGTATTGATGTCCCCATTTCTTTTGACTGATCAGGCCGCCATCAGACGTGAAACAGAAACCTTAAGATTCCCTTCTTATCTAAATACAAATATTTCACAAACAGATTATCTGCAACATGAACCATGTCTACATAGCAGTCTCTGATGGGTCAGACTTGCTGTCACATTTCAAAACATGAAAACAAATAAAAACACCATTATTTCAACATGGCCAAATATATATTATGTAACTTGAGCTGTCATTTGTCCAAACTTTGAAGGTATCCAAACTTTGAAGGCAACAGCTATCCATGGTAAAGATGGATGTTGTGGAATATATTCAACAGTAAAATATATCTATGACAGTTACAGTGTAGCTAAGGTAAGAGTGAGTGAGTGAGTTTAGTTTAAGCTGTTTTTAGCAATATTCCAGCAATATCATGGTGGGGAACACCAGAAATGGCTTCACACATTGTACCCATGTGGAGAATTGAACCCGGGTCTTCAGCATGACGAGCGAACGCTTTAATTACTACCCCACCGCCCAAGCGAAGGTAAGACACATAATTTGCTAAAGACATAACAGACATTCATGGTAACAACTACAGTGCAGCTGCAGCAGAAGATAAATAAACTGGAAGACATTTCCTGGGTAACACCTACAATGTAGCTTTGGCAGGAGATAATTGCTGTGGAAGAAATTTCCATGGCAACAGACATTCAAAATAACAGTTGCAGTGTAGCTACGGCAGAGGATGAATGAAGTGGAAGACATTTCCATGGTAACAGCTACAGGGTAGTCATGGCAGGAGATGAATGAAGTGGAACATGTTTCCATGGTAACAGACATCCATGGTAACAGCTATAGTGTAGCTAGGGAAGGAGGTGAATTGAGTGGAAGACAGCTCCTGGTAACAGACATCCATGGTAACAGCTACAATGTAGGTACAGCAGGGGATGAATGAAGTGGAACATGTTTCCATGGTAACAGACATCCATGGTAAAGGCTACAGTGTAGCTAGGGAAGTGGAAGACAGCCGGGAGGGTAACAGACATCCTCCTGGCTGCTTCCTCCCACTGCTGCTGCATATATCACTGTCTCCTCCAGGGAAAGTCTGTTTCCTGGTGTTTTTACTTGCAGAGGATGTGCGCTCATTTATTTCCGTGTTTACAACAAAACACCCAGGCCTGCTGTAAGTCATCTCAGTGCTGGAGAGTACTTTTATGTGGAGGTCAGAAATGGCAACTCTTCTAAAAAGTCGAATCTGAAGATTTTCATGACATGCGATCATGTCTATTTACATGTACACCGCAGTCGTGCTGTCTGTGACAAGGCTTACATCTTAAGCTGGGAGAGTTTAAAACATTGCTGATGATTCATCACAAGTTTCCAATCTGAGGAAATCTATGCCATCGTTCAGTATTTGTGATGAAGCATACAATCATTTGAAAGCCATCTCAATCATACTAAAGTAACAAACATTTCAAGAGTCTTACACACATATCCCTTTTCTGACATAAATTCAGTTTCTTGTCAATAAAGTAAAAGTAAACTTAAAAGTATACACTATCACCAGCTATGTCCATAGCCACCGATATAGGGCTCTGTTTGAAACAGCAATGGTATCACTATGACTGTCATAACTCCCATAGTATAACACTGATTTACATCAGTCGTAGTGCTACAATCACTTTGTGACATGGGTTTTTGTTTGTTTGTTGTTTAATGCGACATTCAGCAATATTCCAGCTATATGGTGGCATCTGTAAATAATCAAGTCTGGATCAGACAATCCAGTGATCAACATCATAAGCATCTACGCAACTGGGATACAATGATATGTCAACAAGTCAGTATGCCTGACCACCCAATTCTGTTAGTTGCCTCATGATATTAGTCACTGGATTGTCTGGTCCAGATTTGAATTAAACTGTGTATCATGATTCAATAAACTATGTGAACATACGCATAGGAAACTGGCAGATATTATTAACAGCCTTTGTGTTGTCCCGACCACTTCCTGTATATACCATGTGTTTAATGAACAACGCTTATAACAAACTAAACAAACTTAGTGGTTCAGCTGAGTTTGTTACAACTGTACTGGCAAACAAGGATAAGTTGGACCAGCACAGAGAACGCGTTTATGAGAAGTAGGCAGTTCACGGCAATGAGCAAACCAATTTGGTTTGTGAGAGGTAGAGCAGATGTAGGCTAGTGCACATGCATTGCATGACAATGACTGACTGACTGAGTTTGGTTTTACGCCACTTTTAGCAATATTCCAGCAATATCACGGCGGGGACACCAGAAATGGGCTTCACTCATTGTACCCATGTGGGGATTCGAACCCGGGTCTTCGGCGTGACGAGCCAACGCTTTAACCACTAGACTACCCCACCGCCCACATGACAATGAAATTGATTCTGTGTGTAGCTGCACGCCCTTGCTCATAAGACTCTCATGTCGGTGTAGCAAGTCACACTACACTTGATCGCGGACAACCTGGGGCCCCTTTCGCTAACAATGGCAAGCACCAGTGGGCGGCACTCATGCATGCTAATATGGGTCAATTGCTAGGTCGGTGCTCAACTTATCCTTGTTTGCCAGTAGTTTACTGTACTGATCACATGGTGAACAATGTATCAAGATACAGATTTCTGTGTCCAAGGAGACCACCCCAGTAACTGCAAGTGAAGGAGGACTTACCATTGTCGTAGCAGATGTTGCCCAGGGCCCGACACCCCTGGATGGCCAGTTGTACATCATTGCTGTTCAGCAGCTGCAACAGGGGCGGCACAAACCCCTTCTCCACCAGCGGGCCCCTCAGTGACTCTGCAATACAGGATAGTGTCATAGGTGGACACTCATAAAAAACAACTAAACATAATTTTGACAGTTGTACTAACAAACATATTGCATACACACTAGTGGTGTTCCGATTAATTGAAATAATCGAAGATTGGTCGAAGTGACCAAACGACCAAGCAATCGATCACATTTTCTCATAATCGGACACAAACGATTTTGGAACTGCTGTTTTAGTCTTTGAAACACTTGACGATGGAACATAACTTCGAAGTTGTCAGGGCCTGAACACTTGTTTAATTCTTAGAAAACTCACTTCACTAACTGAAAAGTCATGACTGAATATTTCTTGAAGACCCCAGAAGGTTTCTGTTCATGATACATCAACATCACTTTAAAGTAGCAAGGTGCATCATGTTATACATATCTGCAATAACAACCTGGATAGGAAAATCTGAAAATTGATGCTAACCAATTTTTATCGATGATTGTTTGTTGGTAATGAAGCAATCGTCAATTATGAGATTTCAACCAATTCCCAACACTAGTGCACACTGAAAACCACAGCATTGGACTGTTTAACACTTGTAATGTTTAAATACTGGGTGCTAAGGCTATTGCAAAATCCACACTCAACAAACAATTACATTAGTGAATATGTGAGTGAGTTCACACTGATAGTCACACTGGCAGTATTTCAGCCATTTCGTGACTGTAGAAAAATGTCTGGTAAACACTAATGTTGCTTGAAGGACTGACTGACTGACTGACTGAGTTTGGTTTTAAGCCGCTTTTAGCAATATTCCAGCAGCATCACGGTGGGGGGCACCAGAAATGGGCTTCACACATTGTACCCATGTGGGGATTCGAACTCGGGTCTTCGGCATGGCGAGCCAATGCTTTAACCACTAGGCTACCCCACCGCCCCGTTGCTTGAAGGACAAGGTCCAGGGTGACATGTTACAAAACCTCAGCACTTTTATTGTCATAAGTCTAAGTTAAAGTACATTTGTTATGTTTACCATGCTGCTAAGATCGCCTTGTACAGTGGTACCCAGATTGGGATATCACAGAATCACCACTGTAGCTAAGGTAACCATACCAAACTCTCCAATTACCAACACAACAAAGTTGTTTCCCTCACTTATTAACCTGAAATAAAAGTTCAATTCAGTTTCCACATTCACAAATCAGCTTCAAACAAGCCCTCAATATGTTTAATGTAAAAAAAACACTTTCAGCTGGAAAAGATGTGGAAGAGGTAATAAAGCTGGAAGCTGTTTCCAGTTGTATCACAGATGACTTCTGTCAAAGTAAGATGTCGGTGAAAAGAAATATTGGTATATGACATCCGCCTCAATCAAGGAACTTCCATTTTTTAAAAGCAAAAGAAAGTGAAATTTGGCTTTTTTTAAGACCGAAGGAGCTAATTTTGAAATAAATGGTGAACCAAGCCTCGTTAATCCGGACCGGTTCGCGTTTCTCAGTAAATTCGTCCGGATTCGCGAGAATGAATCGGACTACTGAATCAAGACCCAAGTTGCTTCCCCTAAAATTACAAAAGCGACCGCGAATCTGGATAAAACAAATAAGCATTTAATGTAAAGCAATTCATCACATCAATAATTTTACCGAGTGACATCCATGTTGATCCGGCGTGTCTGATCGCGTCCTGCCTCAGCACAGGTGAGGTAATGTCTAACAAAGCGATCTATTGTAGTATGCCTTGAATGTCCGAATTATTCCTGCATCCATCGGTTGAATATGAGGCGTGGTATTTGGTCACATTTAGCAAAGTTAGCGAAGCACACTTCGACTTGCAGCATTGTCGTAAAAGCAAAATCACTTTTAGTCCGCGTGGACGGATCTGTCTGTCAAAGTACATTAACCAATCACAAAACAGCTCACTTGTCATCCCGCGCCTTTGTATTGTGGTGTCAATCAAAGCGCCAAATGTACAGTATCTTCAGTGGGAGCTTTTATGTCTAATTAAAACACCTACCCAGTTGGCCAGTTATTTAAGTAAACATCGCCGGGCGGTGTTGTTGCGGTTCGTGAACACGACTTACAGCGTCCGGACTGTGAAGCAATTTACTGTTTATTTTACTGATTGGTGACAGCTACTTACCATCCGGTTCGAGCGAATTTCCGGATTATCGAGGCAAATTATATAGGCATAGATTGGTAACAAGCTGAAATCGCCGGGGCGAGACATCCGGATTATCGAGTCGGACTAGCGGGGGCTTCACTGTATTATCAAGCTACTATGGATGATAATATGCTGCGAGAAATCGTTCAATGTCAAATTAAATATCATATCATTGTCACTGATGATTTGTCTGGGGAACACACAGAGCAATCATAAAATATTTTTGAGTGTGCCAGAGGACGTGTAAAATATTTGTGGGTAAAACAATCCATTTCTGGTGAAGTTAGCTTCTGTGGATCCATAAACCAATAAATATTCAAATGGCTGTACTTAAAACTGCATTTGAAAGTGTCAGTTTGACTGTGTTGCTAACCTGTTTTAGCTAGCTCTGCTACCAGTTGGGCACACTTGGATGTGAAGCTGGATTCTGAGGCGTTTATGAGCAGCTTGTGGACATCCTCCAGAATCCCCGAGTTCAGGAGAGGCTGCGACAGGTCATCCTCACTATCATCTGGAAGCAATATTTCCATATTTAGTTCCTTGTTGATAAGAATGAAACCAAACACTGATCTACTAATCAAACATTTAAACTCTGGAATTAAAAAAATCTATTAATTTGTTCAATTATCCTTCAACACATAGGAACCCAAATAAGTGCATCAATTCTGATTCTGGAGAAGGCAAGGTTTGCCAACTAATACAGATCTGCAAAGGATTTTCTTACATGAACATGCCTATAACACATGAACAAATATCTGTATGTTCAAAACTTTTAAAGTTAAACACTTTACAAAGTAAAAAATAGAAGTTTTGCTTTTCTTCACTATTAAAGGCTTGCACATCACATATGTCACATAGTATAAGCAACACAATGTATTGGTTTGGTTGCAGTTAGAAGGTCTGCCCTGAAGTTCATCAGCTTACAATCATATCATACACACACTGTAACCAGCAACACAATGTATTGGTTTGGTTGCAGTCAGAAGGTCTGCCCTGAAGTTCATCAGCTTACAATCACATCATACAGACAATGTAACCAGCAACACAATGTATTGGTTTGGTTGCAGTCAGAAGGTCTGCCCTGAAGTTCATCAGCTTACAATCATATCATACAGACAATGTAACCAGCAACACAATGTATTGGTTTGGTTGCAGTCAGAAGGTCTGCCCTGAAGTTCATCAGCTTACAATCACATCATACAGACAATGTAACCAGCAACACAATGTATTGGTTTGGTTGCAGTCAGAAGGTCTGCCCTGAAGTTCATCAGCTTACAATCACATCATACAGACAATGTAACCAGCAACACAATGTATTGATTTTGTTGCAGTCAGAAGGTCTGCCCTGAAGTTCATCAGCTTACAATCATATCATACACACACTGTAACCAGCAACACAATGTATTGGTTTGGTTGCAGTCAGAAGGTCTGCCCTGAAGTTCATCAGCTTACAATCATATAATACACACGACACTGTAACCAGCAACACAATGTATTGGTTTGGTTGCAGTCAGAAGGTCTGCCCTGAAGTTCATCAGCTTACAATCATATCATACACACACTGTAACCAGCAACACAATGTATTGGTTTGGTTGCAGTCAGAAGGTCTGCCCTGAAGTTCATCAGCTTACAATCATATCATACACATACTGTAACCAGCAACACAATGTATTGGTTTGGTTGCAGTCAGAAGGTCTGCCCTGAAGTTCATCAGCTTACAATCACATCATACACACACTGTAACCAGCAACACAATGTATTGGTTTGGTTGCAGTTAGAAGGTCTGCCCTGAAGTTCATCAGCTTACAATCATATCATACAGACAATGTAACCAGCAACACAATGTATTGGTTTGGTTGCAGTCAGAAGGTCTGCCCTGAAGTTCATCAGCTTACAATCATATCATACAGACACTGTAACCAGCAACACAATGTATTGGTTTGGTTGCAGTCAGAAGGTCTGCCCTGAAGTTCATCAGCTTACAATCACATCATACAGACACTGTAACCAGCAACACAATGTATTGGTTTGGTTGCAGTCAGAAGGTCTGCCCTGAAGTTCATCAGCTTACAATCATATCATACACACACTGTAACCAGCAACACAATGTATTGGTTTGGTTGCAGTCAGAAGGTCTGCCCTGAAGTTCATCAGCTTACAATCATATCATACACACACTGTAACCAGCAGCACAATATATTGGTTTTGGTTGCAGTCAGAAGGTCTGCCCTGAAGTTCATCAGCTTACAATCACATCATACAGACACTGTAACCAGCAACACAATGTATCGGTTTGGTTGCAGTCAGAAGGTCTGCCCTGAAGTTCATCAGCTTACAATCACATCATACAGACAATGTAACCAGCAACACAATGTATCGGTTTGGTTGCAGTCAGAAGGTCTGCCCTGAAGGTCATCAGCTTACAATCACATCATACAGACACTGTAACCAGTGACACAACAGTCAGAAGGTGTACCCAGTGACACAACCTATCAGTTCAGTTGCAGTCGGTTATTTGTCTCCCCTGAAAGTCACCAGCTTACATTGATACAACCATATTGACAAGCAAATCCAAACATAGCCCATTAACACAGACAACTGTGAATTTCTTCTGCACTGTAATCCATGATCAAAAAGTCCAATAAAATGTTTTGGGCAACTTTTTAAAAAATTTGATCCTTATCAGCCTCAACAAAGTACCTTCATTGACTGTTGAAAGGATAGCTTAAATAAAAACTATGACCCAAGACCAAGGGGAGGCAAAAGATTAAACCATGATGAAACCAAAGTAAGCTGCTTAGCTGCTTTAATTCCACCACAGATGACATGTAGAGGTTAACCACAGTGAGTGTCGTCATCAGTCACACCAGGCTGGCAGAAGACATCAGGAAATCTGGGCCAGTATTCAACCACCGTCCAGTCATGGGTTGTCAGTATTTAGATTCAGTCAGTGCCCCTGCATGAATGATGTTAGAACACTGCCTGACATCAAATTGATATCAATTAAATATCGTGTTACTTTATTAAAAAGTGTGTAGTTTGATTGAATGTTGATTAAACAGAATTTCAATTATTTCAATATGTCAACTTGACGAGGGAGGAAATCCTGAAGTGTATGACGACTGATTGTTTGGTTGGTTGAATAAATGGTTGTTTGTTTGGGTGGGTGAGTGCGTGGGTTTTGGGTGTCTTTAGTTGGGTTCAAGCCCATGTCAAACATTATTCTAGTTATTATCACAGAGTGCCTAAAGTGATGCAGGTCTCAAACATTTTGAGGCAGATAAGCACAGGTAAATCCTGACATGAGGAGGTCTCAGATGCTAACACTTTGGCGAAACCCATGATCCATTTGAAGCAAATACACTGAATATAATTTTAATTTCAGTCTAGGTTTGACTTGATAGACATTACACTTTCATATATTTTGTAACATTTAAAAGGACACATAGTTTCTTCCTGAGTAAATTTTAAATGTCTTTCAGTGGATTACATAACAACTTTTTAATTTCAAATAATTAAATCAAGTATTACAATTTTTAAAGTTTTAGATCTCAAACATTGCTCAGAGGTACCTTGTCAGCCCTTTTCTTCAAAACACACACAAACACAATACATCTAAAATGTTGAACATCATAAAAACTCAAATCCCAGATATCAGATAGCGCTCCACAATAAGTGACATTTCGTCAGCCGAAATCAGTCGCCCCAAACACCATTTGTGACAAAATCCATACAATGGCCGCTGTACTCCTGTTGTGTGGAGGTGAGTGGGCTGAGTCAGCAAAACACATTTAGGCATGAATATCTCCTCCAGCCATTGTGAAGAACCTGGCATCTCGGTGTGGCTATTATCAGCAACAACTGACCCCTCACCTTTCCTGTCAAGTAATATTTGTAACCTGGGATGAATTACTAAAGAGTTGGTCTTTTGGCCGACAGATCACTATCTGTTTGCTGGGAAGGAAGATCTGGGCTGCTTGGTAAAAAAACATTTGTATAACATGAATAAATGTATCTGAAATTTTGTGGTCCGGAAACAGAACATTCACTTCTTCTAATCTCTGGAGATTCTTGTCTTCAATCTTTGATATTGTATGATTGTAATTTTTAAATCAACATTTTGGCTTCACTTGTATCTATGTTTATTTTAATAATTTGACAAGAATCAGTACACAATTAATAATTTTGTAAAATAAATAGGCTTACTTTTGTCTAAGAAAATAATTTGGTCTCATTTCCAAATCTAATTATTTATCAATACTCTGGAATAAAGAGATGAAATTCTGAAATGTAGAAATTGCAACGCTATTTTACAAACAAACTGGTTCCCCCTCATCCAAAAAAACAACAACAAACTAAAAAACATTGTTTTAAATATGTGTCTCTGCCTGGTCAACTGTTTGAGGCTGATGATATTCAACTGTATAATTCAAGTAACATATTCTAGGCAAAGTCATCATATTCCAGCTGAATGAAACTTGAGTTATTAGAATATATCATCTAATATTGATTTCCTTCTCATTCTCTCTGGATAACATCAACTCTAAAAGGTTTCAATGAATAATCAAACTGACATGTTTCTCACTGACACAGAAAGGAAACTATCCATATTTTAAGTTTGAAAGTGATGTTTCCTGTGCCTGAATGTGTCTGTGCTGTGGGCTATATAGTTTTAATTCAGTTAAAAACCCGTAAGGGATCACAAGGGAAAACATGTTTTGGGCTGTATCCAAAGTGACATTTTTAGTCAAAGATCCATCCATGTCTTGAAACCATGATTAGTTGGCTTTATATTAAAACAAAACTTTGCCTTTCTGTCAATCTTGTCAGGAACGTCTACACGTCTGATGTGTGGCTGAAAAGTCTAAGATAGACTGCTTTAATGGAGTTGGTTGCTAACAATTTTTCAACCTAAGTTCACCCCAGGTCCAGACGCCCCTGCTGATGATGCTTGAGTGTCTGTGTCCCCACCAGTGGAGGTGGCATCCTCCTGGTTATGTTCAGTCCTCCACATCAGAAATTATATCATCATTAGTAGCATAATGCAGGCAAGACAGTTCTTTCTTCAAGTTTGGGTACAGTGTCTAAATATGCTGAATTAGAGAGAGTTTAAAGCGACAAACATGCACTACAGCCATGGTGACAGAAGACTTATGCACAGGTACATTTTCTTCTGGAACAACCCACTTGAAGCGAGTTTTACATGACATGTAGCTTTGATAATACAGCTGTGAAAGACAATTAGCAATAATGCTTGTCATTAATGGTCCGTCCCTCAAGAAGTTAACCAGAAGCATCATTTGACACACTCTTGTATTGTCCACATGCACTTCAACTAAAATATACAGAAAGTGGCCAGGCCAAAAAAGCAGTTCGTTATATTCATCAGTTTGATATAAATGTGTTCATCATAAACATAGTATACCGTAACCATGTATAACACGAAGCGTTATTTAAGTATTACCATTTCTGAGGCTATCATGGCAACATAAGCATTAAGAGGCACTTAAA